CAGCCGCTGGAGAAAAATAATCCCGTTGACAAAGAGCAGTAACAGGTTTTTTTTGTCCAACGTTCGATTTTGGAGCCGGGATGAGCTCCTTTCTCAGGGCGACCTTCTCCGGAGGAAGCGACTGCCAGCTCCCTTGGCCTCCCTGCCAGCGGCTGCTCTCTGCTGCCTGAGATCTCCCAGGTACAGTCACCCCCTCTGCCTGTTGTGCTGCTCTCCGTGGGGCCGGGGCTGCCTCCCCACACGGGGTCCCAACGGGCCTCACCCCATCACCGCAACTCCTCCAGCATTTTTCTGCCAGCCCCTAGGTGCTAACTTGTGTTTGTCAGCCAACGTACGGGGTGTGAGGTGGAGTTTCATAGAATGCTATGGGGTTGGAAGGGACCTCTGGAGATCATCTAGTCCAACCCCCTGCCAAAGCAGGTCCACCCAGAGCAGGTCCCACAGCAACGTGTCCAGGTGGGGTTTGAATGTCTCCAGAGAAGGAGACTCCCCCCCCTCCCTGGGCAGCCTCTGCCAGGGCTCTGCCACCCTCAAAGGGAAGAAGTTCCTCCTCATCTTTTATCCCTGGAGGTGTTCAAAAGATGGGTTGATGTAGTGCTGGGAGGTATGGTTTAGTGATGATGCTCCTTGTTTGTTGTGTGGGTGTCTGTTTTTGTCAGTGAGGTTGACGGTTGGACAAGATGATCTTTAAGGTCCCTTCCAACCTAGAAGATTCTGTGATTCTGTGATCTTTAGGTGGAACTTCTTCTATTCAAGTTTGTGCCCATTTCCTCTTGTCCTGTCCCTGGGCACCAGTGAAAAAAGACCGGCCCCATCCTCATGACACCCACCCTTTAATTATTTATAACCATTGATCAGATCCCCCCTCAGCCTTCTCTTCTCCAGACTAAAAAGCCCCAAGTCCCTCAGCCTCTCCTCGTAAGGGAGATGCTCCAGGCCCCTCATCATCTTTGTAGCCTCTGCTGCACCCTCTCCAGCAGTTCCCTGTCCCTAGTTTTGCCTGGCAATTGTGTGTGTGACACATGAAAAAAGCAGGTAGCGCTGAGCCGCGGCACATGCACGGCAGGAACACGGGGAGACCTCGTTACATCCAGTACTTTCCCTCGATGAGTGGCACGCTGATTCCAATCTGTTAAGGCTGTATTGATTACAGTCCCCCTGTCCATCAGCATCACCTGCCATCATCTTCGGGCTGCCAGCCTGACAGCTGTGAAGGAGCAGAAGAAAGTTGACTGGCAGAATGTTTTGCATCTAATGAGCCTGTGCACAATGAGAGTATAATAAATAAGGCTTTGGAGGAACTCGGCTATCGCTTAAACACCCAAAGAGAGAGATTGCCTTAGCAGAAGCTCCCCAAGCCATCTGTCATCTGTCAGGAGTCGCCTGTCTGTGGCTGAGCTGGACGGAGGGAATGGAAAGCACCAAGGACTGCTGATGTGTCGTACAAGGGGATATAAAGCGGGCTGACACCAGGAACCTGGAGTCACTCAGGAAGAGCTTAAAGCTACAAAGGCACCGGGGATTTGAGGCGGCGTTACTTAGCAGCAGGGGCTGCTGGAGAGACTCCTTCCAGATGAACCTTGGTCTGACATTCACTGAAAAAAGTCACGTAGCTGTAGTCTGTCTGTGCTGTGACATCCCGGTGAGCTGACGCTCAGCAGATGGCCAGGACCATCAGGAATGAATTACTGTGGCTTAGGGATGATGGGGAAAAAGCAACAAGGAGCAACGGCCCGGGCACCAGCCCCTCGGGTGGTGGGTTCAGACGTTGGTTCCGCTACAGATCTCCTGGGTGACATTGAGCCTGCAGTACCCAAAGGACAATAACATAGAATCATAGAATCATTCAGGTTGGAAGAGACCCTTGGGATCATCGAGTCCCACCATCTCCCCCACTCTACAAAGTCCTCCCCTACACCATGTCCCTCAGCACTGCATCTAAACGGCCCTTAAACACAGCCAGGGATGGTGACTCCACCACCTCCCTGGGCAGCCTGTTCCAATGCCCGACCACTCTTTCGGTGAAAAATTCCTTCCTAATGTTCAGTCTAACCCTCCCCTGTTGGAGCTTGAAGCCATTCCCTCTCGTTCTGTCACTAATTACCGGGGAGAAGAGACCAGCACCAACCTCTCTACATGCTGCTAGAAGAAGTCTACTGAGAAGCCCCTAAACCTACCTGGTGGTCCACCAAGAGCAGCAGCACGATGGGTACTAGCCCTTCTGGTTATCCTGCCATCACATTGCAGAATTTGGTTTCAAGTATCACAATTTGCAGGGCAGTCCCTGATTGCCCCCACCTTGAGGCTTTGATATCCAGGTGTTGACCGAGGTTGCCCATGGCAAGGAAGAGCTGGGAGGCGTGCAGCCCTCTCCAGCAGCCTGGCAGGGCCTGTGCTATCACCTGGCACGTGGAAAGTAGGAGACCTCACGTGGTCCCCGTGGGCTGCCTTCTTTCCTCATCCTCCTCCTCCTCTCTGTGCACCTCCCATCCCTTGGCCAACTTGCCCGTCACAAACCACAGGGGCTTCTCTGTGGGGCAGCAGGTCCCACGGGACACAGGGAGCCAGCCTGGTCAACGCTGAGAAGAAGGGAGGGAGAGGTTTCTGTGTTTTTTCTGGCCAAGGCTGTATCAGCTCCCCAGCCTCTGGAGGGAGGGAGCACGGGAACCTTCATCCAAACATGCCTGTGGTTGAACAGGCCCAGAGACCTCAGCGTGGTGGGGGAGGAGCACAAGTCTTACGAGGAGAGGCTGAGGGAGCTGGGGGTGTTCAGTCTGGGGAAGAGGAGACTGAGGGGAGACCTTCTCGCTCTGTACAAGTACCTGAAAGGAGGGTGTAGAGAGATGGGGGTCGGTCTCTTCTCCCAAGTTACAGATGATAGGACAAGGGGCAATGGCTTCAAGTTGCACCAGGGGAAGTTCAGGTTGGATATTAGGAACCATTTCTTTACTGAAAGGGTTATCCAGCATTGGAATGGGCTGCCCAGGGAGGGGGTGGAGTCACCATCCCTGGAGGTATTTAAGAAACGTGTAGACATGGCTCTTCAGGGCATGCTCTAGTGCCCAAGATTACTGGTTTGTGGTGGGATGTTGTGTGGGTGGGGGCTGGTTTTTGGTTTGGTGGTTGTTGTGTGTTTAGGGGGTGGGTGGTGGTTTGTGTTTTTTGTGTGGTTTTTTTTTTTTTTGTGTTGGTTGGACTCGATGATCTCTGAGGTCCCTTCCAACCACTACGATTCTGTGATTCTGTGACATGAAAGCCTTCAGTGAAGTCCAGCTTCAGTCCTTCAGTCGAGCCCAGCTGGCTCGTGTGACATCAGCCCTGGTGACACGCTCGCCCGGCTCCGTGCGTGGTGCAGCCCACTCACCAGCTGCTGGCACGTTCAACGCTGCCACCACTGCCCACGTTGGATGAAGAGCAAGCCAGCAGCCAGCTGCACGCAGCATTTCTGCTCATTTTCAGGGCTTTTGGTGAGCCTTGATTTCATATTCCCGAGCTCGTCTTAAGACTACACACTCTTTTTATTAAAATTGAATATTGTCACCATTTAAAAATTGTTTTTGATGGACCGGGCCCCAAGATTGGTGCCTGTATTCAAAGATGCAGCACTGCTTTGCAGCGGAGTTTAATTGGGGTGCTGTTTTTTTGCTTTTGAACTTATCGTAATTATGAACAGATTTTTTATTTTTTTTTAATATGTCCCCTGGTTTCTCCCTTCGGAAGAAAAAATCTCATGTTTAATGAACTTAATTTTAGATAAAAGGAATTTAAAAAAAAAGAAAATTAAAAATGCATGAAGCTCCTAGAGTCATCCAATTCCTGTGATGTCCACACAGCAACGCCAGCGTGGATTTTTACAAAGAGAGGGAAAGCAGCAAACCAGGGAGACTTGCCACATGGAAATGCTGCTCTCTCCCAAAACGGGCCGAATTAGAAACGGACGATTAGATGCAATTCTTCTTCTTGATCTGTTGCAAGAAGAAGATAAAGATCAAACATGCCAGCCCACTCCCAGCAGCAGATGTATGCATACCCAGAATGCCTGCTGGCTTTTTTCAAACCCCCAGCCAGCTCTGTGTCCTCCTACCAGCAGCAGAAGAGGATGGTCTTTGCACTCTTGTTTTGTAGACAGCCCCCACCCTCTGAGGTGACAGCACCCAGAGATGACCATTGAGCAAGCACCTCGGAGCAAGGGGACATCTCAGGACATACCTTTATTTAATTCCCCCCCAAAATGAATATAGCACAAAAAGGCTCAGTCTCACGGGGCAGCAGGAAAACACGTCGCAGTTAAGAGAAAGCACAGATACAACAAGGCCGTGTATAGTACCAAATAATGTTTATTTTGTATTTAAATTTTCTTCGACTATGAAGTGATGAGCCGCGCTTTTAGACAGCGGCACTCTCAATCTGTACAAGAGGATATTGTTTATTTCTTCCCAAGAGCAAGCTGGGGGGGGGGAAATCTTAATCGTAGAAATCATCAAATTCGTCTGCTTCGGTGCTGTGAGTCTGGGGGCGCAAAGCAGCCTCGATCTCAGAGCTGCTCTCCTCAGATTCGCCCCAAAAAGCTGAGGAGAGAAAGAAAAAAACCAAAACAACTATAAAATCTTTTCCATGTTTGTCATTTATGTCCCAGACACGATCATTCCGCAGCTCTCCAGAGACAGACAGACACCACAGCTTAGGGAGAAGTCACAAAGACCACAGGCCCAAAGTGTGACACCACCTCGTGCTCCCCGAGAGCGGAGCTGCAGTGGCCAAACAGCGGGCTCATTGAGAGGTCCCACTCCATTGTTCCTCAAGGTAGCTGGAGAGAACATTTCCACTCCAAGCAATTTACTTGACCAGCTGCTGCCTGAATTACAGCTTTGTCTATTATGATATGCCACTTTCTCCCTCTACTTGACCCCGCGGTGAAGTCACAGGCAGAGCGTGACATCACAGAGTTGGCATAAAAATGGCAATGATGTCACAGATGAAAAAAATCGCCAAGCGGCACTCTCAATCTGTACAAGAGGATATTGTTTATTTCTTCCCAAGAGCAAGCTGGGGGGGGGGAAATCTTAATCGTAGAAATCATCAAATTCGTCTGCTTCGGTGCTGTGAGTCTGGGGGCGCAAAGCAGCCTCGATCTCAGAGCTGCTCTCCTCAGATTCGCCCCAAAAAGCTGAGGAGAGAAAGAAAAAAACCAAAACAACTATAAAATCTTTTCCATGTTTGTCATTTATGTCCCAGACACGATCATTCCGCAGCTCTCCAGAGACAGACAGACACCACAGCTTAGGGAGAAGTCACAAAGACCACAGGCCCAAAGTGTGACACCACCTCGTGCTCCCCGAGAGCGGAGCTGCAGTGGCCAAACAGCGGGCTCATTGAGAGGTCCCACTCCATTGTTCCTCAAGGTAGCTGGAGAGAACATTTCCACTCCAAGCAATTTACTTGACCAGCTGCTGCCTGAATTACAGCTTTGTCTATTATGATATGCCACTTTCTCCCTCTACTTGACCCCGCGGTGAAGTCACAGGCAGAGCGTGACATCACAGAGTTGGCATAAAAATGGCAATGATGTCACAAATGAAAAAATCGCTGCTTTGGAGATAAGATCAAATACAGGCAAAATTGACTTCAAACAAGCGCGAGGCTCTAACAACCAGCTCTGTGAATCAGCAAACGGTTCAACTGACACGAACAACATCACCTTTAAATCCACAGTGCCCGAGAGATTCCTCAAGAGGGAAATTATTTTGTATTTTTTGGTGAATCAAACGAAAGTAAAAAGCGTGGCACTTGAAGGAAGCGTTAAGTCAGTCAGAGAGCTGTGCTGTCTGCCTGTCCCTCACCACCACTGGCAGAGGGTGGCTGTCTGTCCACAGTGCCCACGGTCAGCACAGCAGCCACAACGCCCCAGGTGAAGCCTGAAACTTGGCAGTTGGGATTCAGGAAGCAGGAGGGAGGAAGGCTGTCACCCCTCCCTCACAGGGAAATGTCAGCTCCTGTTCCACCCAGGCGCTGGCGATGTGCTCGGTGCTTTTGATGGCACGGGCTCTAGAAACATCTTATCTACAAATGCAGCAGCTGCATCTTTCATCCCTCTATCCCCGGCCCCCTGGACCGCGGGTCTGCGCTCAGCTCCACGCTCCCTCCCGCCCTCAACACCTGGGAAGAGGCTGAACACCTCAAAAGGCCCCAGAAAAAAAAAAAAATTAAAAAAGAAAGAATCAAACTTCCCTAGCAGAGAAGGAAATGAGCTGGGGATACCAGAGCGCTTTTCAAATGGCACCAAAGCAGCCATCACTTAATGGCATCCTTAAGTGGGCTGAGATGCCTCTGAAACACACTCTGTGCCTAAAGCTGAGCTCCAGGGAAAGAGCTCCCTGCTCCCAGCACTGACTTCCCTCCCGGGAGGCTCCGCTGGAGGTGGCTTTCAGACACCAGTGGTGCTTGTGGTGGTTAGAGAGGATAAACGGAACGCAGAGCAGGATGAAAGCACACGGGGCCCAAACAGCCTCCTTGCTCAGGGAGGAAAAAAATCGTTCCAGGTGCACAGGGGGCTGCACAAGCACCTTTGTGCACCCACCTGTGGTACCTGTGCACGTGCTGCTGCCCACCCGCTTCTGCAGCTCCCCTTTCAAAGAGAGGATGGAGAAAACATCAGCTTTTTTTTTCCTTCTCTGTGTTTTCTCCCACCTGCTATTTGCTACTGCTGGATTGAAACCCTGAAGTGAAGATCCTTGCACCCTCCACATCACCCACGCTATGAAACACGTCCTCTCTGCTCTGGGGGCTGTCATCCTCCTCTATTTGCTGGGTCCTGTGTTGAGGCAGAGAAATTCCATGCTTTCCCCATCTCCTTGTACTCACATGTTTTATGCGGTTCCATTGTGGTGTTCTTGGAGGTTTTCTACCTTATAGATTACGCTTTGAATTAGATTTTAAGCAGCATGATGTTTGTTTCTTACCTTTGGATTTTATAGCAGTTACCATTCCCTTCCTGGTTTCAGCCCTGTAAGAGAGACAGATTTCAAACAATCAGCACAACATCACAAAATTACAGAATCACAGAATCTTCTAGGTTGGAAGGGACCTTAAAGATCATCTTGTCCAAACATCAACCCAACTGACAAAAATAGACACCCACACAACAAACAAAAAGTAACACCATCACTAACCCATACCTCCCAGCACTACATCAACCCGGCTTTTGAACACCTCCAGGGATGGTGCCTCAACCCCCTCCCTGGGCAGCCCATTCCAATGCCTGAGAACCCTTTCAGTGAAAAAATTTTTCCTAATATCCAGCCTGAACCTCCCCTGGCGCAACTTTTAGATTTTAATTTTTTTTTAATTTTTAATTTTAAAATTAAAAGAATGTAAGTTGCCTTTTTAAAAAAAAAAAAAAAGTGAAATGGTTTAAAAAAAAATAAAAATCACCAACTTCTGTACCTGCTTTTAAAAAAAAACCACCAACAACTATTATATCAAGGGTTTCTTCACTTTTATGTCTGCTAAAAGGTGGAGAAATTAACAGCATGGCCCAGATGTTCGGGAGGGGAGTCGACCCTCGGTAACAGCGCCCCGTTTACACCAGCAGTGAATTAAGGCTACAAAGGAGCAGAGATCTATCCTCCATCTATCTCTTACAGCCTTTCAGATCATGCCAAAAAGAAAACCAAACCAAACCAAACAAAAAATCCAAACAAAAATAAAAGCACCCCCCCCCGATGCTGACTGAACTTCCTTACTCCCCTTCCTGCCCGTGTGGGCACTGGGTTCCCAGAGCATCCTCCCTGTCCCCATGTAAATGTGCCATCTCCCAGCTGCCTTTGATCTACCTTGATGTATATGCAGTTGCCACTCCGTCCTGTTAAATGCCTGCTCTTGTGTCTAGAGCATCACAGGCCCTTTTGAATCTCTCAAACAAGCTGGAATCATTTTGATCTTTTGTGTGTAGCGTGCGTATTGTGTCAGCGCTGGGGAATAATCACACGGGGGCAATGGTGGAGGAGAATTAACCGTTACATTAACAACCCTGCAATAAGCTCCAAAAATAAAGCTTCAGCTGATTTTAATAAGGGAGATCAAATAGGAGGTATTTGTGGCATTACTGTGCAAACTAGGAAAATATAAGCAAGTGTCAAGCTGCAGTTTGAAGCTGTTGCTGCAGGCAACAGGACTCGATCAGTTGTCAAAAATGTCATACAATTTGCTGCATTTCATTTAAAGACACGGCAGCCAAGACGTAATTGCTCAAAGCGGGGAGTTGAAAATGTTCTAACTACTATTGTGGAGGCATTTGTGAAGGAGGTACAAGAAAAAAAAGAGGCACAGAGATGACTCAGTGCTGGTCTGACATCCCTGTGGTCAGCGAGGAGTGGGGATGGCAGCTGGAAAGCTGAGCTTAGAGCAGGGGAAAGTTTCATGACGTTACAGGGGAACTTTCACAATGTTGCAGCTACCCGTGTTACAGAAACTTTTCCTTTTAAATGAGAGAGCTCCTACTGTTTGATTCCTATTCCTCTCCCACGAGCTGCAGATGCCATTGGCACACCATCTCCCCCTTTGCAGACACACAAAATTTCCCAGAAATAGAGCGCTAAACACAGCCAAAGTTCAACCGAGATGCCAAACTGCAGCTTAAGTACTACTACCAAGTACTGGCTAAGTATCAAAAGTGACATAACTAATTATGAACTTATTATTTAAGTAAAAAAAAAAAAGAAAATGTTAGCCTTTAAAGGTTTACACAACACTTTGTCAGCATGCCATGCAAACAGCTTCCTGTTCCAGTCAGAGTCGAACCCGACGCTGCGTCACACTTCAACTTCTCATTCAAATCCATTTACTCCACGGTTGTTTCCAGCAAGTATTTGAAGTCGGAGCCTCTGGGTTGAGTCCTGCAATCTGCTGCACGCCCTTAACTCCTGCTCACTTTGGTGAGATTTCATGACCCTCAGCATTTCCCGGGAGGTGCTCCACGTATCCCAGGCTCAGCCCATAAAAATGCGCTCAAGAGGTGTTTTATCTTCAAGTAGTTCAATAAAGCAAGATGAGGCAGCTGGCAGCTACTGCTTCCACCCCCATCGTCAGGGGAGGCGCGGGGGGTTTTGTCACTCAGCCACACTAGGAGCTCCCTCCAAGTCAGTTTTTGCTTCACCTCTCTCTCTAGTTGAAGCCCACGTCAACCATGAGAGGGTTGGTCACTTGGGCCACCCCAAGGACCGCCGTGGACCACAGACCCAGCGGTGGAGCAGCACCCAGGGCTCAGGTGGTTCAGTCCACTCACACAACCCAAAGCACTGCAAGGTGCTCCAGGTCCAGCCCAAGGTCAGTGGTCTCCCAGAGAAGTGGTGCTGGACAAAGACCACCACGGTTGGAGGAAGGTCCAGAAACCTTCCCTCTTCTGCCCTACCTTCTCATGAAGAAAAAGGTAAATGCTAAAAGGAAAGGAGGACAGCAGTGGGGGGAAGACAGACGGTTGTAGTCTGCCAAAACCCATCCATTTGTTGGGATTCATCCTCCCGGGGTGAATCCAGCACCCCCAAGAGTGGGATTGACTCCCCGAAGAGCCCCGCACGCCGGGAGCTGGGTGTTGGTGTGACACAGCAGTCCATCCAGGGAGAGGTGGGGAGCAAAGGCTTGGCACAAAAGCCACTGGCACGGAGAAACACCCAGGGAGACGGGGAAAATGGAGCTAGGACAGCAGAAAGGCCAGGTCAGAAATCCCAGCTCCACCAAAGCAAGCCTGGGAAATGCTGCAAGATGGCTTTGTAACGGGGAATAAAAATTCCTGAATTATGTCTGAAGTGTTAGTCCCAGGCTGATAAGATACAAGACGACTTCTGCAAAACAGCCGTATTCAGAAATCCAGGATGGCACACCTTCCTGCAGCCCCTGCAGGAGCCCGACAGCTCTAGCATTTTCTGCTGAAATTTGGCATCCCAGGAGCATTCCCTGCTCTGGAAAGTCAGTATAAACTAACAAATCCATTCATCGTGCCAGAATTGGGGGAATAACGTTGAATTTAAGTCATTATACTGCCAACAGGATGATCTTTAGGATACAAAGATCTATATGGAGCTCCATTTAAGACTATTCTCTGCTTAGATATACCCTGCTGAACAACAAAAAAACCAACACACAACCCATTCTTGCTTAGAGAAACCACTACCACAGAGACTGTATCACGGTGCTGTGATGGAACTAGTGCTGGAAAAGCACGGGGCACGGCCACAAAAATCCTGAGGCATGAAGAAACTTGAATGACTAAAATTATGCACGTGTTTGTCCAGGGTTTAGGCATTAGCCAGAGAAGATGGATTTGTCATCAAAATAATGAATTCAGCTACCAGAGAGACCCAGCCCAGGTTCTCTGCTCTGCCCGGAGAAGCCTTCGTCAGAGCCAAGGGGGGGCCAAGTAACAGGTCCAGTTCACATTTCTCTGTTAAGTCAAATACGACTCGAGCTGTGCTTGTTTTTAAGACTTAAAGACTGAAGTAAAACATTTTTATTTTCCATGAGAAGCAAATCCAATAAAAGCAGGTAGGTAGGAAGGAAGGAGCAGGGTGCTCGACACAGGATGGATGATCTCGTGCTAACTCTGAATTATCTTTTAGACCTAGATGTCTTTATTGGTGTTAAACCAAACCAGAATATTTCTGTATTTTTTGCTCATTTCTTTCCCAAATAAGCGTGCACATTCTATTACGCTCTTTATTAATTTTATTTTCATTTTAGATAAAATGATATAATTTTAATGAAAAGCATTTCCTCTGCACTCCGAAGGCAATGTATTGAGATGGATGTTGTTGTTGCCTCTCCCCATGTACCGTTCCCCACCAATATCCCTAGAGCATCACGATGTGACTGCAACGATTTCTGGATGTTAATCTTTAGGAAACAAGGCTCACAGAAACGTCTGTAAGGTCAGAAAAACGTGCCTGAATTGACAGGCAGCTCCTTACAGAAGTGATCTTTACTGGGCATGTTGAGTTTGGAGAAGAGGAGGCTGAGGGGAGACCTCATTGCCCTCTACAACTCCCTGAAAGGAGGGTGTAGAGAGGTGGGGGTTGGCCTCTTCTCCCAAGGGAACAATGCCAGGACCAGAGGAAATGGTCTGAAGTTGGGGCAGGGGAGGGTTAGATGAGATATTGGGAAGAATGACTTTACTGAGAGGGTGGTCAGGCACTGGAACAGCCTGCCCAGGGAGGTGGTGGAGTCACCATCCCTGGAGGTGTTCAAAAGACGGGTTGATGTAGTGCTGGGAGGTATGGTTTAGTGATGGTGATGCTCCTTGTTTGTTGTGTGGGTGTCTATTTTTGTCAGTTAGGTTGACGGTTGGACAAGATGATCTTTGAGGTCCCTTCCAACCTAGAAGATTCTGTATTTAAGGTATTTAAGAAACGTATAGACATGGCTCTTCAGGGCATGCTCTAGTGCCCAAGGTTATTGGTTTATGGTGAGGTGTTGAGTGTGGGGTTTAGTTGGTGGGTGCGGTGTTTTTGGTGGGCGTTTGGTGTGGTGTGTTTTGTATTTATTTGGTGGTTTGTTTTGTTTTGTTTGTTTTTTTTTTTGTGGTTGGACTCGATGATCTCAGAGGTCCCTTCCAACCACTAAGATTCTGTGATCTGTGATCTGGAAACACGGCAAAGGCGGAGGACGGGCAGGTGGGAGATCACACACGGGAGTGGGGGAACACCCCACACCTCTTCCTCTCAATCTCCTGCTGAACCCATCTCCTGGCCGCTCCCAGCCCCAAACGTTTGGGGTCTCTCCTCAGAGCCCCGGCCAAACCCGATGGATCCCCCCCCGCCATCATCTGAGCAGCGCCAGGAGCGGTTCTGCAGGGGGCTGCGGGGCTGCGCAGAGCCCGAGTGCCCCCCGCTGGCCGGCCCGCCTCGCTGCCGCCAGCCAGCCCCTCTTCAACACCACCCCCGGGGATAATTAAGAGGCTGAATTAGGATCTGTCCATTCTTATTTGTGTATCGTTACCTCCCTGTTCGGTAA